CGGGGGGGGGGGGGGAAGTCAAAGGTGTCATGTTGGGGTATTTTAATTATACGAGTATCTCGGAAACGGTGAACTCTAGAAAAATTGTTTTACATAAAAATGAAAGCTAATTAAATTTCCTATGAGATTAATTCCGTACATATTATTTGCCGAATTGTCAACGGTTTTCAAGGTGTCGATGATTTTCGAAAAGATCATTTACTCTTTTTGCCAAATATTTATTTACATTGTCTTCCACTATCATTTCTCAGAAAAAATTTAAGAGCAATAAATTTCCCTTGATTTGATATAACTCTTGCTACTTTATCTTCAACCAATAAAAAGTTATGGAATTCGAGAGTTACGGAACTAGTTGGTTATTCTTCCTCTTCCAACCCCAATTCAGCGCTCCCGCTCCACCGTTCGTACCCTAACCACAGCTGTATTTGGTGGTACGTTCGGAATGCATGCTGCTTAACAGCTCCTTCAGTTGGGGAGGAGAGTGTAGAGATGAAGCTTCATGTTTGCAGCTGTTTTGTTAAATGATTTGCAGCGGAATTTCTGTGGTTGGACTGCCATACCATGAGAGAGCACTCTTGATTCCAGCTGTCTCAATAGAATCTGGAGAAGAGCAACTGCTAGCAAATATCTTTGCATGTTGTATCATTCTGACCTTCATGTATATTTTGACAAAACCCATTTTACTCTGGGGATGCTGTGTCACAGTCCGTGAACGCATGTATAAAAATGTCATATATGGGCATTGTCCTTCATTTTCAACTCCTGCAGCAGCTGTTGCGAGGAATAAACCACAGTGTTCACCTGTCCTCTTTCCGGTTTAACCATCAGAATGTAACAATCAGTTGGGGTTTGGGCTACCAAGAGAACGGTTAATTCAACTTCCTCTCGAACAACCGACGAATTTTGTGATCTCATTAATTGCACAACTTTTCTATAATAATTTGACCATCGTCGTATCTTCTATAATTTTCAAGATCTCCATGATGGATATCCTTATCTGGGACACACTGTATGTAGCCAGTTTCAATTTCATGCAATTCGATTCATCGGATAAAGAATTTTATTAAAATCGACTTATAAGTGGCGAAGAAGCAGTGGCGGCGCGTAGTGGTGTGTCTTGGGGGTGCACAATTTAAAAATGGGGCCACGGGCAAAAAGCCGGAGGCGAAAATTTTTTGAGTGTCACCGCAACACGAAGTTTTTTGGGCCTATTAAATGGCATAAAAAAGCGTATTGATGAGACCTCTAAATACTCCAGGGTTTATTGAATTTTCTCGATTTGTCAATGGCTGCGGAGAGAAAGTTCCAAAGCACCACAAAATTTTATACGGTCTATAATTTTGGATAAAACATACCTGTTCTTTTTTACTTCCTCATTACGTTTTTCGATACTCAAACGGTATGCACTATTTAACTGCTGCCTTAGGTATATCTTGCTTACCTAATAAATTAAATCTCAATTTAGCAGATGTATGATGTGCCTTTGAAGATTGATATTTTTTAATTTTTTCGGATAAATGCACTAAGTCTGTAACGCCATTCTTTGTCCATGCTGATGCCTCATCACCGAGCTCATCACCAAACAACAAACACGGAAAACAATAGACTATTGTTAAAGGTACAACCGCATAACCAGTTAGGTTTTTCATACATGTCTATTTTAAACGATCGTTTATTCTTCCTTTATTGATTTTCGATATTTCCAAACTCGGTTTTGGGCGACCCGCATTTTTTATTTTAATTTGATCTTCTAATTTTAGTAAATTAAATTTAATAATTGCCTTTAAATAATGAACGGTAACGTCGCAACGTTACTTGTTAAAACCGAAACGATCAACACGCCCTACTTCGCAGTCCGGCGCATACTGGTTCACAATGAGAGTGTGCTCTTGCTATACTTTACAACTTGGACCTTCGCGGGGCGCACGGGGAAACGCGACGTAGCGTTTAAACGAATCAGAGATCGTAGCTAATCGTGCAGTGCACAGGAAGGCGGAATGGGAATAATTCTAATACACGTTCAGCGGTGTGTCAATGTACCCGTTAGGTTTTGCATTACAGATAAGATAAGTGAACTTATGAACTATTTTTATTGCGAGATACGAACGTGCAAGAATGTTAAATACATAAATAGAATTGTTATAGTTTTCGTTTTTTTAAAATTATTTTTGGGAGTGCACGTGCTCATGTAAGAAGAAAAAAAAACGCATTGTGAATTTTGAATCTATCAAACCCAAATTTCGGAATGCCTATCGTATGCGGCATTGCCTATGCATATTTTGCATAGAATTACAAACCACTGATTATAATTCTATGATATTTTGAAATTGGTGCAATTCGGTGCATAACTAACGAAGGAGTCAAAAGGACAGTGCTTATTTTTTGCTGGTATGGCCAATTCACTAACTCCGATCTATAAATTTGATAAACAATCCTGCTGCAAAATTGCATTGTAATCGGTTCATCCGTTGTAAAAGGGATTAAGGTGTGACCCAACTTTTGGGATTAGGTACGCATTTTATGATTTTGGTATCTTGAACGCCCTGTGTAATGACTGTTGATATAACATATCAACACAAACTAACCACAATATATTTTTTAGTCAATACTCTATCCCACACCTCCTTATATGTCCTCGCGCCCTTATGTCCCCCGTGTCCTCGCGCCCTAACGACCTCGCCCTTTCGGCGGCGCCCTAATGGAGGGGGGGATCTCACACGAGGACTTTGACAATTTTTTCCTCTGTAAACAGGTTAAGGTTATGTTACTTGTTACTTGCAGTGTATGTTTCCCTTAAATAATACTTGTAATGTTGACAAATTCTATTCATTCGACCTACTATTACAAGGAGAATTCATAACGATCGGCCAACGATTATCTCGCCAACGATAGTCACATACTTACTGAATATAGTTGTCGTTCAAAAACATGTCGTTGCCATGACGAAATCGTTTGTTAACGACAATATTCATGAATACTCGAGAATAGACCTCTAAATCTATTGCTGGAAACGTATTGTTAACTTCAGGCGAGTTAAAAGGTCAATAGTAATGTCTTAAAACCCCAAAATCGGAGGTAGCGTAATTAACTCTTTTGTGGTACCTGCAGCGACAGACCAGATTTTTGGCATGAATTCTAAAGTTAAGAATAAATAAAATCCTCTTTGAAATGGTAAACCGCATAAAGAAAAATTGCAAATATTTAAAAAAGAGCATATTAAAGGCATAATTTGGATTATTAGAGCCAACGTTTCTAGTTTTCGGTTCCAACATGTTGCTAGTATAACTGCGGGCCACTGTAGGGGAACGTGAGGAACAAAAGTCAAGATCAAATAATTTTCAAAATTTTCGCGTGATTAGTAGTCACCGATAAAATATCACTGCCAGATATTCCGTCATTTTACTAGATAGCCGCGCTACACCACAACTTCCGGTTTGGAAACCATACCTACGTATTCGGTATTTTTCACTAATATTCCCACTAGTGAAATAAACCGAATACATGCGCTATAATTATGTGCCGTTTTGCACCCAGAAATGAAGTCTGTGATATTACCTATTACAGGTCACATGTAATGTAGATATTTACCTACAAAGTAGTTCTAAATCGCGAAGACGAGCCCTAATTTTATTAGTTCCCAAATTACATACATCCAGCGTATTTTAAGAAATCTAATTAGCTATCAGTATTAGAGCTAGTATTCGTGACCAGATTTTTGATGATACGTGCCATGTCTTTCACAGCGATGATAAGATTATACGTAGCATGAAATATGAATGTCCTTGTGTGATTAATACCTACAAACAAACAAAAACGAAGGTACCACGAAAATACCGCCATTTTGGATATGATAACTGAGGGGCTAATCTTAATTAATTATCATGAAAATGTCCTTATTTACACTTTATCAAAAATTTGATGTTACTACTATCTTCAAACCAGTTGCTCGATTTTCCAATTCACTCTAAAACTTGACAGAGAGCAGCACATGGAGTAGATAAGTTTTCATGCTAATATAAGAAATAATATAAGGGATTAATTTTCTCATTTCATAACCCTTACAACAAACTACTTTTGAACGTACCCCTCTAAAAACATACATTAAATCCCCCTTCTAAATATTGCAAAATAGTGGAACGCGTCGAGCTTTGGTTCTGGTAACGGCACAAAACTGTAGGGTTGATGGAGGTTGCTTTATTGGAGGGTTGTGGCCCCCTCTTCTGATGCAACGGACATCGCTGTTAGCGGCGAAATCAGTCCCGATCGTGAGTCACTGCTATTAAGAAACTATCAATCATAAATCGCGTGTGTCCGCGTTTACCTAAAATTTAAAATTATGCCGGTGCGGAAAGGGCATCTTGTCCTCATGCGTTACGTAAATAATAGTTGTATTGAGCTCAATGCATTGTTCTAGTAACTAGTTTCCTTTTCCATTGTATAATTTGATATGCTTCATACAGATAGAGTAACAGCATGCAGGTACTTCTTTTAAGTAGGTACTAAAATTTCCGTCACTTGGTAGTGCAAGCCGTTCGGTTCACCTTGCTTTCAGTTTTCGTAATAAAAAAATAGCTTTGTAAAACCAGAAACTGTATCACCGCAAATTTGATATCGCGGGGTAATTTAATATGGCAAAAAGGTTTGCAAAACAACCACCAATTTTTAAATGTACAAGAAATAAGTATAGAGTGAGTTTTATGTTGGTTACTATGAGTGTATTTGCAAATAGAGTTATCAAAACTATTGTGGTTTTGAATTCGAAGTCATGTAAGAAAATATCTATTTTGTGTTTAGGAATGAAGTGTAACAGTGATTTGTACTTAAAGTAACTTACTTCTTAGTGACACACAGTGTTTTCTTGTGTTCGGCACTGCAAAGACAGTGTTACCATGTGCAGTGGGGGTGCTTCTGTTGTTTGGTAATGGGGGCTGTTTTCTTATGGCGCAAAGATGTGTTAAGCAATTCTAGCACCATATGAAATCAGTTCTTAAAACCAGAGATCCACAAAAACATTTATTTAAATAGTTAACATCGATTTCCATTTATAACATAAAAGAAAAGTAAGTAAAAGTAACATTAAAAAACTAGCAACAATGTTGTACGATAACATATAGACACCAAGTATGTAGTACTGCGCCCTTTGTGCACTTTTCAAATAATATACACATCTTCGTATTTACAACAAGCCATTTACAACAAAGGTGCAAAAATTGGGGTCAAAAGATTTGTACAGTAAAGTCTCGAATCTACTAACATCCACTTACAGACAGACATACAGACATTCTACAATAATTTGTTAATAGAATCAGACAGATATCACCGCTTCCTTTTCGGAGGAATCACATTCTTCTTTCTTGTTTAGTTTCAACCAGGTATCTCCAAGCGCTTTGGCGAAGTGGTCGTCCACCGAAAGGCCCGTACTGTCCATCAGCTCCATCACTTTGTCCTTGATTTTCGGAGGCGACTTTACGATCGGCGGATCTTTCGGGGGCGCGTTGTTATTTGAAAATATTTTCACGTAATCCTTTCCCAGGGAGCGCCGGAAGTGCTCGTCGATAATTGGATCGCACATGGATATACCTGGAATGAAATTTTTCAGTAAAACAAAGGGACTGGGGGACTATTAACCTGAGGGCATATCGTCCCGTTGCGCTTGTGTGATAACGGAAGTTCGGTAACTCGATCTAAATTCCGGGTTGTTAATTGTTTGCGAGTAGGATGGCGGTTGCCCTCGTTGGCGTACGCTCATGTCTAGGGGTGTATCGATGCCGCCGTTTGGTGGTAATTCGAATTCTTCTGGCATTTTGGGATCTGATTTGCGCGAATATTCGGGGCGGGTGCGGCGATCCCTTTTCCATTTCGTTGTTGGAAGCTGTTTTGTGGAAGCGTGTTTATTTGAATCCTCTGAAAATAAAATTAGTATTAGCGCAATCGGTTCAAGAATCTAGTGTAGGGCGATTCGACCCTTCAAGGCCAACGCTAATTAAAATGATCTACATCCGGTCAAGCCGACGCCGGCCGTTCAACTACAATTGTAAGTACCTTTCGTAATCCACGGCTGCCAAAATTCGCACTTAGAGGGGCCCTCATTTTTTCTTGCCATTTCCAATAGTTTAACCCGTAAAAATTGCGCTTTGATTAATTCTTGCACGATAAACGGTAATTCCATGTTACAGACGCGAAGGCGATCAAATAAAGGAGGGTTGAAGGAAATTTTCGGAAAAATTGTAATTCGCTCACTGTTTACGTTGCACCATTGTTATACGTTCAACCTTTAACTGAAGAAAATAGTAAGGCCGCTTCATTCATAAGAATCCACCAGGTAGACTAACAGGTATAAGTAATTAGTTTTTTTTACTAATCGCGCCCAAACCGTTGTTAAATCACGTGGAAATAAAGTCCAATTTGGCCTAAAAGACGTATTTTGACCACTCGAATTTTTTGTTTTATTTTTTACCGCAGGGTTCTTCACTTTTAGAAGCTAATTTACAACACGTCGTTAAGAATACTCCCCATACACTATGGTCGGTCGAAGACGATTTTAATTGACTCTCTGTAAATTACAGGGCAAAATGAAACACTCTAATCGGCAAGGACGTTTAGAACTGATGATGATACGTGGCGCCTTTTGATTTTTTTTCTTCCTCTTGAGCAAGAACCCGTTAATTCGATTACGAATCGACTGCGGAAATTAATTTTGCAATTTTCTGGAAAATTGATACAGATCTGTTTTGCAGATTAGCACTTACGCAAGTTGTTTTAGGAAATAAAACTCCTTGTTTAGTGATTTCAAAATTTCCCGTTAAAGTTTGATTACAATTGAGCAAAGTTAATTGGTTCAATTTTCACGTAATTATACAAAGTAATGAGGATCGCGACCGTCGATTATTAAGAAATCGCTTCGGCGTTTCTAGGGCATAATTTCTATCTTGATATCTTTGAAGAGTACCAGTAAGTCCGCATACCACGAGAAGGAATGCTCAGTTCACACCAGTACATCTGTTCGAAACATACCACACATAACGAACTAAAATAAGCCTTATGTTAGATAACAATGTGTCTAAATTTAATGTCATATTTTTCGGCATCCGCCTAACTTTCGAATATTTCGATCAAATTCCTTAAAATCGATTTTGCGCGTTTTCATACCGCGTCGATCATTAAATTTCATTACTACTTCGTGGGTGGGTGGTTAAATAAATTCTCGTGCGCTTCGTTCCGATGCTACGTATCGAAATTTTTTGCATTCTTCAGCTTTCAAGGCGGACAAGAGTTCATTGCAATTTGAGCGTTATTGGAAAAAAACATCATTCAGACCATATGTTAATTTGCAAGCATTAAATATGTTAAACATTAACATCCTCTCGAGCGACGCGACAAAAAAAACAAAATATTTGGCATATTTATCAAAACTGGTGCGCTGCTTTTTTGCAAAAATAACTAGGTAATGATTTATTAATGCATTCCCCGATATTTATAAGAAATGTGGGAATTTAATTATTTTTGCAATCGGATTACATTAACTTTTGTATTTTTACAGGTAAACCCTTACATTACAACTCAGCTATACTGAAGAAATTTGCAAAACTTCCGTCACAGAAACTGAGCCGCCCGATTTTAAAATTGCACGCAACCGTTGACTGATAGGTACGTTCTTTTGAGGAAACCCTGCGACTTTTGCGTATTTTCCACCTGCAGTAGAACGTATGGTTTTTGGAAAGGAAGATTTTGGACTAGAAGAGGAAATTTGATCACTAAAAGTTCGATATTCTGACCACTTTTAAATTTGGTCGTAATAACTTCACTCTGCTTAGTCCTCATAACTTCATAGAATATATAAAGACATGTATTTGCCGTAACGTCGATTTTTTCATTTGACGGACTTTTTTTTTCGACAATGTTTTAGCGATGTACCTACTAACCGGAAGGATGAATTAATAGATAAAGGGGCGGGTACTTATAATTTTTGGATAGATGGAGCCGACAGGTGTTTCATTGCGAGGTCATTTTTAAGGAAATTCTTACCCAATAAATAAAACTTTGTTCACACGCAACTGTGTCGTAAAACAAGTGAGACCAACATAAAAACATAATAGAGAACGTTACATTTCCCGAAAAAATTGCTTTGTATATTATTTATTTAGGGAGATTTTGCAATCACATCTCGAAGTCAAAGGGAAAAGGTTAAAGGGCATAAATCCAAGAAAGAGTAGTTCCCAGACAGTGGCGTAGCGTGGGCCATCGCCGCCTGGGGCCGACCGGAAATTCGTCGCATCCTCGATTTTAATATTCAAGAAAATTCCGAGAAAAATTCATTAAAGCTAAATAAAGCAGTTTTAATTCCGAGTTTAATTAAAAATGTGCTTTTGGTGCTTTTTTCAGAGTGGACATAGTCGATGGGAGATAATTTTTTATTATTAATTTTAGCTTCTCTCGCAACTGGCATTATGACAATCTTTGGTAACCCATCTTCAAGTTTGGACTAAATAATATATTTTAATAAACCCAGAAAGCCGAACATAATGAGCCTGTTGCAGGTACGAAATCTTGTAGACGTACACGCTCAAGATAGAATTCTTCTTTATTACTATCTTCAGGAGTATGATTTAAATTAGGTTCGTCCACGTTCAATACTACTTCAGGTCTTTAAAAGCATATTTTTGCGCTAGATTTTGCAATTGTTGGAACCTTTCTTGAATGTCAGCAGTTACTCTGCATATTGAAGAAAATGCCATCGTACGAAAACTTTACTTCCGTCGCCAAATAGATGCTTCAGGGGTTAGAAGAACTTGTCTTGGGGATTGAAAAGAAATTTCAAACTCTCAATGTTCGGTAAAACCAATCTTTAGCGAATCATGTTGTAGAGTCCATGGCTGACTGAACCTGAACCGTGCGTATGATACCGCTGACTCTTCGGAGAAATCTGTATTCATGTGTTGAAGGAATTTGGGGCTTCTCTGTAACAATATAGCAACCTTATGTTTGGATCTATACTTTCAGGCAATTTTACAATGTCGTTAAAATCGATATATATTTTGTTCCGGTGTCGGAATGTCAGCAATTACAGCAGAGGTATTTGAATTTGACTTATTCGTACTGTCAATGAAAGGTTGCAAGTCTTCAGTATCAGTTATTTATTCTATTTAAGCTACTTCCGGGATAGGACTGTCTCTGACATTAAAACACTAGTCTTTGAAAAACTCACACCTGAAGGCCCTGGCGTCCACTCTGCCCTCTTTTGCCCTTTTTATATTTAGTTAGAGATGTGCTATAAAAGAAGAAGTACTTCTTCGCTTTCGCTAATTGGGCCGTTCCAGAAAACTTTGGCAGTACTCGATTTTACCCCTCCTCCTCGCGCCACCCTGTTGCATTTGGGCTTGGCACAAACACACAATGACGAGAGATATTATTTATATATTACATTATGGGTTAGGTTGGTAGAGCAAACTGGACTTAATAAATTAAGAAAAATAAAAATATTTCAGATGTTAACTTAAGACTAACTTTGTAAACATAAATAAAATGCCCAATTGTAAACATCACTTGAGGGCTTAAGAAAGATCTCGTTACATATATCATACAATTTGGATGAAATTTCAAAAACATATCTAAACTCATATCTAAACATACATAAGAATTGAAAATACAAGCTGGGTCTCCCACCCCACCCCCATCTCCGAATGTTCAAGCAGATTCTGGGAATACGGAGTTATCACCGTTAACGGAATTATCTGAAAATCTGCCACACAAGTTATTCATTGAGGACGTTTTAGGTAAAATATGTTCACGACTTCACGTCTTCCGGTTATGTCGAGATATATAATTACAGCATTTGGTCTATTGCTTAAAAAAAATGGTGTTGTCATTAAAAGAAATAAAATTTCCGAATTTTAAAGAAGTGCGAAATTTGGTATGAATTTCTGAACACTCAATATAAATTTTTTGGATAATTTTTGCATATAATGTAAATTGCTTTATTATGCAAATCCTGAAAATAATATGACCAATCTCGTTTGGTTCATAAAATGTACAGGGTGGAAATTTTGACACAACAACAACAACAACAAACTCAAGGGGGTCATTTTTTAATAGCAACCAGTATTTTTATGGCATATTCTTAAAGTGCACACCTTTCATGCTGATATATCCAAAAAAAGTGTGGTCAAGAATCATATGTAATGAAAACGTGTAGTTGCCAATAATGAAAAATATGCTCCCCTTTACCAAGCAGAAGTACGCCACTGACTGCAAAAAAATCAAATAATTCAAAAACCGTTAGATCTAGGTTTATGGTCCCTCATATCAAACTTCCTCTACATTTTGCGCTGATTAAAAAAATAGTACGAAGTAGGACAATGGACATCCCATTTAAAATTAAGAATGTTGAGCCAGTATACCCGGAACCGATATAAATACTTCATGATAGTTCCGCCTTATGAGCATCTGCTATGTTATATGGGTCTAAGTAAGGGCCACTTAATTTAGCCACATATCGGAAACGAATTCAAGGGAGGTAGTGTGACAAGCAATCCTAAATAAAAGACCTTTCCGCTAATTAATTATAGATCTTTTCAATCACAATCAATTTTTTTGTATTTTTTTATGTAAAACAAAAAATTGCGAACAATTCAATGAATTTCGGATTTGGCATACGCACGCCTTTAGTGGTTCCAAGTAAAATTTTTAAAAAGGGGGAGGGGCGAGGATAAACACACGTTCTACCCTTCATGGTATTCTAATGAAAGGTCTCACCGAAATTAATTGGTTTGTACAAACTATAACTCCTGCGCGACTCCTTTCCGCCATCAATAGGTGGACGCGAGGGGAGGGAGGGAGGGAGGGGGTAGAAATTAATTTTATCTTTCATGGTATTCCAATTAAAGGTCCCAACAAAAGGAACTGTTTTCTGCCAACTACCGCCCTTCTTTGTGACTCCTTATCAAAACAGGGAGTTGGGGGGGGGGGGGGACTGGTTTTATCCTTCATCATGGTAGATTAATGAAAGGTTTCAACGAAAGGAATTAATTTCTACCAACCATAGCCCTCCTCCTCCACCCCTTATCGTGATTGGATATACATAATTCCTTATATCTCAAGAACAAATTGCCGGAGGGGGGTACTCACAATGGGAAACTGGGACCTGGGAAGAAATATATCTATTGGTGATGTCAAAACTTTAAGAGCGAATATCTCGAAAACGGTTTGTCGGAGGAAAGTACCTAGAAAGGCAAAATATTTGTCTGGACGAGACATATCTATTAGTGAAGTCGAAGCGAATATCTTGAAAACGAAGTGCGGAAGAGGGTACTCAGGGCAAGTGGAACGTCAGGACGAGACAGATCTACCGGCGATGTAAAAACTTAATTGTGAGTATCTCGAAAATGTTGAAGGAAGGTA